TTACTAACATCAGTAACGCATAATTGCGTGAACTCACAAGACCTTCTGACTCTGCTTGCTTCACCACATTTAAAAAGTGTGTAAACCTCAGTATACCATTTGCAACCAGGTAGTACGTACCGGCCAAGAGCAAAATTTCCATTGTTGAAATAAGCCAAGCAAACTGCTTAAATCTTACAACTCATTTTTTCAAAGTGCAGAACGCTTCATCATTTTTCATTTTTATATAAATCTATTGTATTTTGTTCTGTACTTATTTGCGTAGGGAAAGGAGGATTAATGGCTCAGTCATGGACAGATATCGTCAAGTCTCGTGGGATGAGTGAACGATGGGGTGCTTGGAGTAGTCTATCTTCATTTACGCATATACACAAACCACTGAAAGCAACACCAGGACTATTCAAAGATTTCTGACGTCAACGAGACACACAACCTGCCGTTCACAGGAGAGGACTACCCAGTAGATTCTTCTCACTTAAATATTTTAATAAACCCTTTCTAACTGGGACAATACAAATTCAGGAAATGACAGTAATAGAACAATGCTATGAGTTATTAAGCCAGGAGGGTGTCTGGGACAATGGACTGGTTACTGTGTTAGCTGAAATTGAAATTTAGAAAAAGCGCCTAGGCAATTTTAGGCTTTTTTTTTTTTTTTTTGCCTTTTTCGGTTTGCATTTTCCCGTCAATAGTAAAAAAGGCAGGTTTTGGTCAAATTAGAGCAACTCAATTTAATAAAAGGTCGCTTGGCCACGAGCCTAGACAAAAAAATTGGACCAAGTCATAACTTAAACAAGCACCTGTTGACCCGGCGGCTTACTTGTTATCAGTCTTTGAAAATCTGTGCACTATATGCAGTCTATCGCGATACCTTTCAGATAGAAAATAAAACTAGGAGGACCTTTCACATCGAGAAGATGCACATTGTTTATATTTTACTTTGTAGTACCAATGAGTAGCCGTTTGCAAGTGTTGTCAGCAAAAATCTAAGATACGTCAAGAAGCACACCACTTGCTACTCCACAGTTTAAGTGCGGTAATCATTGGACCTTTAATAAATTGTTGAATAACACCTTCCTTACAAGCACAAAAATGTGATATTTTATGTTTTGTTAACTAATACAAAATCCTTTTACACATGTCTTTAGTTCTAAAAATGCTACAGTATAAACCGCCGAGAAAATACTACTTATCAATGACAAGGACAACCCAGTAGTTCAATATTCAAAATATTTTGACCTTTTTTTTTTCATCATTTCCATGTATCAATATTTTTGAGATATAATCGGTTGATTATCATTCAAACGAAACATTTGATGTCGAACCAATGGAACGTATTCATGGACTGATGTGATCACCGGGTAAGTGCTTTTGGCAAAGGCGTTTTTCGATCCTAGCTAGCTAGTATAAAGGACAGTTTTGTTTGAGAGAAATCAACACATTTGAAGACATTAAGCTAAGAAAATCTTTTCGGCCAACTGTGATTTTTCTGCAAGTAAACAACAGAAAGAAAGAAGGAAAGATTTCCATAACAAAAGATATTCCAATTGGTATTCGTTCACGCGTGTGCAGATTTTTCTTCCTCAAGCGTATCTAGATCATGTACTTAGCTAAAAATACGTTTTCATTTCCTCTGGGATAAATGTGATAAATGCCGTGACCGTCAACTTGTTAAAGATTTCGTGGGTAAGATATCGTTCTCACTGACTGTTATCTTCAAAAGCGATTAACAGTCTCCAACAGAGCTCTCATGCATACTTATCAAACGCCTCGCGTATAATCAAAAATAATAACGTCAAAGGAAAACGAGGTGGGAATCAGCCACTGATTCGATAAGTCTCCTTTCCTGCTCGTTCGTTAATCCGTTCTATATTGATCAGCAACACAAGTCGGGTTTCTTGTTAGGCAGGGCATAGCTTACTTCCATGCTTATGGCGCTCAATAGACACCACCAACTGGAATCAAAAGCGGACAGTCAGGCTATCAAGACTGAGATCCCGGCTTCCGCAGTTGATGTGGAGGTGTGTGAACGAGTCACCATGGCTCCAGCTCAGTGAGTTGCCACAGTAGGAAATTGTAACTTCTGTAAGTAGCTAATAAAGGTAACAATGTTACTGTCGAAATAGTAGTTTAACCTCATGGTCACCTTACCAGAGAGGTATTTGGGAACGCTAATAGTAAGAGTAATACTACAAGAAAATCAGGTCATCAAGTAGATATTAAGATTTACAGGCTGTGGGTAGATGCCTCGAAACATGTGCCTCAAAACACGTCAAAAGAAAAGGACCGAGGACTGGCCGGCTTGACGCAATATTGCCGGGAAAAAAGTTAAGATCGAGAACTTCAGTTCGAAGTCAAACGAATTAACTCCCGACCAAAGGGATCGGCCGCAATTCGCGAAGGTTGCTAGAAAAACCGGCAAAGGATGAAAAGAAAACTTATGGGTGCTAGATCTCGTATCTTTTTTTAATATTTATAATATGTACCACAAAGGGCTCCTCAACAGTAACTTTGGAAATATACTAAACATTGTTCTCCTCCATGCAATTTGGAACTGAGGGTCAACAGTGAAATGGTCTGTATGGCGTGGAGTGCTCTGACTTGGTGCAGCCGGATGCGAATTGTTACTGTGGTTTAGCGTTGGTAATGATAATCTATAAATACGAGGTATACGCCCAATGTGTAAAGTGTACTAACATGATTCAACTGATCTACAAAATCCTAATTAGGACATGCTGTAGGTTTTTTCATTATGCATCCCGGAAGGCAGAGGAGTTGATCACTGACTAAGGTGGTATGAATACGACGAAAACAAATTTTCTTTATTTAGTAATGACGTTTACTACATTAGATATGCCATTTCTTAGAAATTCTAAATTTGTTTAAGAATTGAAGGATCTTAGAGAGCGTTGTCTTTGCACTTTACCAAAAAATATTTCAAATTAGGTTGTGAAGGATCATAAGTTTCTGTCTGTAGGTAGATTGTCCTATTGTTTTTAGTGCTAGACGTCCTTATCAAGGTTGACAAGGTTATTAGTGTGATGACAGCAAATTGTGTTATACGCGCTAAGAGTTCTTTTTTTTTTTTTTCGGCGTACTACAAAAGCTGCACGTAACGGACTATACCTATTACTTTTTTTTCTATCGCTGTCGTGGTTGCTCAAGCTCGCTGATAGTGCTACCATCAGAGCAATTCTTGATATGCAGGCGACGATTTGATGGAAAACGCGCGACGAAAGACAAGTCCGCAGGTACCAATAGAGAGGCTCAGAATCAGCTGACTTTCAGCAGCAGGGAATTTCAACGTTTCTGGAACTAATTTCTGTAGTAAGAGTGGGAGCTCAGGGGCTCTCCCCTTCTTCTTGGATAAACCTTTGCCTGCCATGACTTCGCCCATGAGATCTCACTCCGATATAAATGTGATTGGATCTCTGGGAATGTAGTGGAGGTAGGTATTCGGCCCCTGTGGTGTTTTGAGCGCAATGTCAAGAGCTAACCAAACAGTCCATTTCAGCGAAATTATCTTACATTGTAGTCGCATATTGTTCTGTCACCACACTATTATTTCAGAAAAGTCGTTAGAAGCATAAAGCAACGATATTTTCGAAAGAACGAATCACAGACACTCGATGATCGTGCCATAAGTGATCATAAGTGTAACTGCGAAAGCAACATGACGTTACTCGACTCAGAGACGTGACACATAATAACAAATATTTCGCAATGCAACATTGCATTGGAAGGCGTGACATTGACGCCATTGCGGTTCACGTTCTCGACCCAAGACGTCAACAAAAAAGTAACGCGACCTTGTCAAGACTGAGTCGAGTGTATCTAAATAGATGCGTCAAAAAGTGGCGCGAAATATCGCTTCGTAAATACAGCAAGCCTTACATGACATTAAACGTTGTAAGGAGGATTTTATTCAAAGACATGATCACTCGTGCCTACCATAACATTTAGGGTAGTTGGCAACAAACCAAAGGTGCAAATGCATGAGGAAAATTTGTATAAATCTTCCCAGCAGTTTTACATCCATAAGGGGAATGCACGTGGGTGAGATGGGTTTGCCAGATCGGGGCATTATTGATAAACCCAATAAGGTAGAAACCTGATGCAAAACCTGCACAGAAAATTCCGCGTTCTGACTGCATGAATAAGTATTTTTATGAGTCGAGTGCCACATCAAACGATTGATTTATTGATCTTTAGTAGTGACAATAAATGTGGCTGGTAAGGGGTTGCTGGAATGAAGACGTGATTTTTTTTATTTCTAACGGAGAGATGAACGTGTAATACAAACAGTACATCGTGCGGTAAGCCACCGATACTTCGTCATCGGTAAAAGGTCAAGGATAATAGTACCGGTCTCTAATAGCACACGCTGGAAAATTTCAAAATATTTGCTCCTTATTGAATAGAATTCTACAAAACATTCCGTAAAACCAGCTAAAATATTACTAATTTTCCATAAACGCTTACAGTTTCAATGAACCTAAATGGACTGCTTCATTAAAGCTTAGAACGTTTATTAGCCTTTTTGGGGAGAACACATGTTTTATTTGTACATACAGTGTATAATGTAATCACGTTAAGCTGAAATTGTTTTTGCATACCGTTCAGTCACAACAGGTTCCATGATATGGGTCACTTTTTTATCACAAGCCATTGTAACTGCACTTTTCTGACCAATACAATAATTGCTTAAGACAAAACCCAGCATCAAAGCAGTTATGCCACTGGAGCAGTACAAGCAGGAATAACAATCACCCGGAAACCACGCGAGGAAAAAAGGAACAAAGGCCATATACGTCACCAATAGCCATTTGTTACAGACATATCAACCGGAAACACTCCTCCCACTTGTTGTCAAATACCGTTTGGCTACTCTTCCAAAACGATTTAAGGAACGACTTCCTCCACGTCCAGGGTACAGAGTAGCGTGTGCGCTCAGTGCAAAGTTTGTTTATTTCTCTCAGAACGAACTGGCTTTGATAAAAATGAGTCTTTACGCTTTCGATCCTGAACTGGAGCAAAAATTAAATGACATTGACGAATTTATCAGGTCGCAGTGCGGAGACGAGTTAGCCGAAGGGTTTGATCAAAGCGAGTGGCTTTTGCCTTCAAACGCCGGGGAAGCCCCGCCGCAGCCCAGCTCTTGCAACGTGAAAGGTACGTCTGGGAATTTTGTTCTAATAAGGCGCTAACGGATAAATCCGAGTGAACAAAGCAGGGAGCGACAGGGTACGCCAAACTTCACTTTGAACCAGAAACGTGGCTAACAAAGGCAAAATAAGCTCTTTATAGTCTTAGTAATTTAGCAGATTTCACCACTGAAACGTGGATAAAAAAAATTATTACCTCGCTTGTACATCATTGGCGCGATTTTCTCTCTATCTTTTATACTCTTCCAAACCAACGTAACATGCTTTTAAGTCACGTAGAACGTGTCTCGGATTTGGGTATTAAAAACGACACCGAGTTAAAAATGGTGCTTTCACGATTTTTTTTGGCTAACACACTGCATCGGATTGCATCAGCTCCAACAGCCTGGAGAACGACAATAACAGCGAAACTAATTCCATATATTTTCAAGCCACATGATCTGAAACAGAATTAGAGTATCAACGTGCCTTTAAACAATTTGACGGTAAGGTACACCCGATGTTGTGTACACGCATTAAGCAGCGTCACTTCGCGAAACAGTCATTAATTGACTTGCTCTGTTTCAAGTAGCGCACTCGGCAGTTTTCTCGTTTACTTCCACGTGCTCCCCTAAGGCGGGCTAAGTTCGTTAACATTTTTCCTTTTTGTAAGCAAACTGAAATTACCAAGTGACACTAAACAAATTTTCCGCGTCTAAGTTTACCGAGTTGAGAGAATGGTCTTCAACTTAACGGATCAACATGTACATACGTAGCTCAGTGCAACATGCTGCGTGTGCTTACTTGAATCATACCTGTCCAGCAATAAAATAAAGAAGCTATTGCTCTTTATTATGTATTCAACTTTTCTGAAAGACTTCGACGTATCAGGAGGTACAATTTTATCTTTGAAGCCTTAAGTGATAAGTCAATGTTATTGAAAGATCCTGTTTCCTTCCCCTCAAATAGTCAGTCTTGGACAAACTGACCACAAACAAACCAGTTCTCGTATTATCACCAAAAGTGTGAGGCATTCAAGTACTTCCCAATTACCAAAATAAACTGTAATTTTATTGCGCGTGCTAGAAATACTGCTTGAACCAGTTTCCAAGCCTTTTCCCCGATATTCTTTGTCGAGCTCACATGCAGTTATGGCAGACTCAAAATAAAAATAACTTCAATCGATGCTGATGGCAACACAAAACGTACCGTACGCGCCTACAGTTAAATCAAAATTGTTTTCTTTTCTGTGAAAAGTAATTTTTCTCTCTGAAATACAACAGTGTCAATCAAATTAGCTAAAAATTTCAAATTGGGGAGTGTGTCATTTTGTTATAATAAGCAGTTCAAGTTTTTGGCTTCAATCACCGGAAAAGGAAAAGTCTTATATCTGAAAATTTACTGACAGAAGGAGGAAAAGCATAGTAAAAAAACTAGTCTTCAGAAGCTAGGCCTGCCTGAGATGTTCTGGATAAGAATTTACCCCGTGTTTTCTTGGAGTGTAAGTTTTAAGTTGCTTTACATTTATTACTGATAAATTATTAAGATAGCCTTACAAAAATTATGCCCTCTTTCAAAGCAAAATTGGTCTAAATTTGACAATTTTCAGTTTGGTAATGAACGTGTCCAAAGGAACTTCGTTAATGTGTCCATTTATTTCTATTATATGTTTTGGTTGCCAACGAGATGTTCTCTACTCTGCAAAGTATGTACTTCCCTTCTTACACCGGATAAATAAACGCGTAATACTTAAACCAAAATAGGGCTATTTTATCATTTTTCGCCGATAAGCAGCAAAAACAAAACATCAGCAGAAACCAGAGAAACCTTAGGAACACCATTCATTGTCTCAATTTGTAACAGAGAAGCCCTTTCAATGACTAAGTTGCTTTCTTGATGTGGCACTAAGTTGAAAGTATCTATCGTTCGATATCTCATCTTTGTCATAATCTATTGTCGGAGCAAAAATGTTGTCCTTTGTAAAGCAATCAGAAAAAGGGCTAGCTTAGGAGAATACGGTTAAGTAAACCTTCTGATAAAACTGATCAAACTCCACTTTGCAAAAAAGACAGGCTACGACTGGAACAAGTGTTTAAGGTATGGATATCAGTAATTTTATAAACATCAGTATATATACTTGACCCAATTGCAAGCATCTATTCTTCCAATGGCGCTCATAAAATTAAATATATTCAATTTTACCCCCCAACAAATGAAGACAGAACACTTTTTTTTCTCCAGAGAGACTCAATACTTTCAAGGATAAGTCTAGTGAGGTTGTATATGACATGAATAGTTTTCGAAAATAAAACTTATGTTCTGCAAAGACGCACACTAAGACAGTCCTTGTAATGTGCGTGTACCAATTCATAAAGAAAGCAAACATAATTTAAATTAAAGCAATTGCATAGAATGGCTTAGTTTTCATTTAAACGCATTTGTTTTTCTGAATATAAGCAATGCATTTTTTCAATTAAAAACTGAACAAGTTTTTGAGTCATCCTTTGAAACGTACTTTGAAGCTAAAGGCAAATTGCATGAGGTCTAATACCAGTATGTCCTACAAAGTTGACAAGATTGATAGGAAAGAAGGGTTTTGATCCAATTTGCGTTAAGATAAGAGGAAAATAAAAAGCTACCTTTATTTGAAGAGCAGTCTGAGTGAATAAACAAGGTTAAAGATCTAGAAAAACAACTCTACTTTATGTCAGGCTATGAAGGTTGCTCAACATCACAACACAACGAGCTCGCTTGTTGAATTCATCGAACAACGTCCTTACGTTAACTATTTGCAAGAAGACTAAAACAAGTAATAATCATGTCAAAGTGTTCCGGCGTTAACGCCTGAAACGACTTGACGTTTGTATAGTCTTTACCAGGCTAATTTGTTAAAGCTCGATACAGGGATAATAGTAATAATAATGATAAAAAACAAAGTCCTAAGCTGACCAGCAACAGTCAGTTCCATGACAATATGGCGAGCATATTCAATAAAATGAAAAAACACTTATCTTCACAATTTGCTTTTAGTTAGTCATATTTACTCAACATCTACAACACTCTTTGTTTGGGAAGTCTTCCGGCCTTTCATATTGTTTTAAGTAGCTTTAGTTAAACAAAAAGACGGCATTACTCATCAAGATATGTTTTCAGTGCTACAACAAAGAAACGCACTGGAATCGGTCAACAACACTAGTTCAATTCCATAACCAACACTTTGACTGTGGACAAAAAAAGTGAAAAGTCATTCACAGTAACAAACACTGTTGCAACTTAGTGCTTTTTTGGCAATGAGAAACACAACGATATATAAGCGTTTACGGTAAATTCGTTATACGCAAAGGACACATAATGTAATCTAAACCTCAAGAAGAGAACAACAAAGCTCCATTATGCACGTCGAAAAATCGTGAAACAGTAAGGTTTAGTTGCGTTAAGCCTGAAATATCTCAGTTGAAACTAGAAGGTTATCGTTTCCTTTTACCGAGACCACTGCAATAATTAGTGAGCTGATTGATTATGAAATAAAAATTCCAAGAAAGTCTAAAAGCACAGCTAATATTCAAGCTTCCTATACTTAGTTGTCTAATTATGGCGACTACCTCGTACACTTGGGCAAGCTGAGGCAGAAGGGATATAGGTTATAAAGAAAACAGGAAGTGAGTTTTCCTCGTTGTTTCAACCTACACAGTTCACAAATAATCAGCTGACGCACAATAACTAAACAAAAGGCTAACACCTATACATTAACAAAAGCAGAGTAAGGGACAAATATCCCTTACAAAACGTCATTGTAAGAGACATTTAACACCTTATCTTATTCAGTTCTTGGATACAGAGTTAAGTCAATGCAATTTCTGTGAAAAACGTTCAACACATCTCAAGAATGGAACACAAAGAAAGGAAAAGAGTATCAAATTATCTAACAGCAAAGAAGCTTTTTTTAGTCATTGTATGGCAGTAAACCTGCTTGGTCTAACAAACAATACAATATCAGGTTTTACTCAACTATAGTAAATAGTAAACATTTTTAAAATGACCAACTGCGCAACAAGTCTTATCGCTTAGAAAAGTGGACATATTATCTCCAGGTGTTGGAAAACGTCTTGCTCCCTCCCCTGCCCAATCCCCACCCCCTATGCCTTAGTCCTTTTGTGCAAGATAAGAAGGGGGTATGATTACAAATTTCCTTTCTTTCAAAAGCATCCAGGATATAACTCTCAAGGCTGGCAGCATTTTACTATTTTAAGGTGGAATTTTGCTGACATGAAAAAAGGCTTTCCTAACAATTCTAGGCGACTCGAACGTTGAAGACAATTTTTTATATTCTCTCTTCACAATGGACACGAGCCCGGAGTTTTCTAATAGACATTGATAATTCGTGTCAGGTGTAAGTCTCCAGAAAGTCCAGCCAGGTTTGCACGGTACAGTAAACAGGAAACCTCTTGCCTATGGGTGATGAAATGTTAAGGAAAATGGTTATGAGCTATTTACTTCTATGGAGTAAAATACATGTTGCTCCGAGCAGAAATGATTTGTATTCACCCACGCATAGCGGAAAGGAAAGATAATTGAGTTTAATGAAATTGCGGGTGACTGAATTCAAGTTGTTCATCACTGATGACAAAATTTGTTTTGTGTTTCAACAATTCTCAATAAAATGCCAGTTAAATAGGCTAGAACTTGCATGTGATTACCAACTGATATAAAAGCTGCCTCTCTGTTTTCTTATCACTTCTTACTGAATCGCACCTGGGCCTGTTTGTTCGCGCTTGTAAGTTGTCGATAAGTTGTTCGTACTTCCGGTTCAGCAGGGTGAGGTCACGCCGCTGTATGCATGCCCGTTACGCTTTTCCCGTTCAGCTTTCCGAGAAAGTCCAACTGACGCCCAATATAGGAGCCAGTTTTCTCCTTCAAGCCCCATGTTATTTTACTTTCTAAAATTAAGCTTAAGTGCTTGTGAAGCTTTATTAAAACATTAAAAAAGCATTGAACTTGTCTTTGTCTGTTCGCCAGGCAAGTGCGACTGAACAGTATGTTTACGCGGGGTTTTGCGCCAGCGGTCTCAAATTCGTGAATAAGCAAAAATACTCTTCGTAATGGTTGAACAAGTTTAATAAGCTGCAGTAAGTCGTTGGCACGCCTCTCTATGAAACAAAAGTTCGGGTCAAGGTTAATTCAAGCTTATTTTCCGTATCAGAAACGATCGAGTTACCAGAAATAAAACCTGTGATTAGTATGGAACTCACGTATACGTTTTTCAAGCGTTCAAAAGGTTAATTCTCTACTGCTACAACTTCAAAAGAAGAAAACTCGATTCCTTTGAAAACAAATCGCTGTAAAAACGACATACTAAGTTTTACGTATCTAATAATAGTGAAAAAGTGTAAGTCTTTTGTTACTTTTCTGAAGATGGCATTTTGAACGAGACTTACTACATATCCTCTCCCTATTCCCCCCATTTTTAAAATGTTACGTAACTCAAAAAAACGTGCGTGGTATCGGAGAACTAACTAAGAGAACTGGAAGTAAAATAGGCAAGACTAAACTGCGGGACCGAGAACTTGTTCAATTCTCTCTCATGTGATTTCTTTTGGTCTCGTGAACACTGTACGTCAGAGCGAGGAGGTATTGGTCTGTTTACAATAAAGATAAAGTTTTGGTTGGTTGACGACAAAAACTTTATGGTCACTTAGCATAAAGAAGAAAGCATACAAAAATTATTGATTGATTAGAAGAACTACGGGCTTATCAACGGTGGTCTAGTGATTTTACAAGATTTTTTATCGTTTCGTGATCATCAAGATTCAAAAGGGATTAGCACCAATTGAGATAGAGAAGAAAGAGCTCTTGTGTAGTAACTCATGTGTCCTTCCGAATGCATCAACAAATGTTGTTCATCTTCGACGCATTTTTGTTTTTGCACGCTAAGCTCGTTCTTTCGTCTAAAGACAAAGCCGCGCCTTTGTTCTTGTCAGCGGGATTTTCCAGTTTGTATCTGAAGTATATGAGCCCTTACCGTATAGGCGTTTTCTAAGACGTAGTCTATGAATGAGCTTCTTCGAGAAAACTTTTCGAATGGGTATGTTTTTGCATTAATTCTTTATTAGAATCTTAATTAGTACTTTACTGAGTGACTCAGTGAGCAAGTTGGTATAGCTAACGTATCTCCTTATTTGTTTACTTTGAAAGCAGTTGCCCCAAGTAACACGGTTTCTTGTGGCGCCAGAATGGATGAGCTCTCTACGCACCATTGCTCAACATCACAAGGACCTGAGGTACGGGTTCAAATACTGAACCTCATGGACATCTATGACAAAAAAACTACAAAGACATCGGGAAAGTACGAATATCGCCTGGGATCGTCGGAGGTGACTATTGTAACCCATTCATCCGAAGAAATTAAAAGAGTTCGAGTATATGTGCAGAGATGCCCTGAAGCAGCAGTAAGGACACACGACACAACAGGTACTTTTAGCAATCAAGACCGGTTTCCTCTCACCCTAGGAATGCTTACATCTAGTCAATCACATAAGAATTGATATTCATAGAATGGAGAGTCTTTTCATGTGTTTGAAGCACCTGTCAAGGAACCAATTCAGTTCAATAAGTCTAAAAATGTCCCCTAATTTCACTCAAACATTTTACTGTAAGGACTTATTTTCAAGAACGTTCGGGAAAAAAAAAGATTAATCAATAATATTTGCTCGGTTACCTGAAAAAAGAAAAAGAACTTTGCTGAATGCATATATTGATAACGAGTTAATTTTTCCTCAACATGTTGTTAAAGTAGAACCTCAATATATCGAACACTTTTCAGTTTAACAAAAACTGCACAAAGTAACGAACAAAAATATGGAGTAATAAGTACCAAGGATTAACACAGCAGCACAGTGACCTCAAATACCTGTTTGGACTTCTTTGAATTCTCTTCTGTGCAGCTTTTAGTAGCTTTAAATACCTGTAAAACGGAGCACTGATGGAGAGAGAAGGGTAACAAAAATGAGCGCTCTTTCGGCCTCAAGTTTTTTGGCCAGATAAATATTTCGAGCTACCGACGTTAGTTTTGTGAAATGTATACTAGGATAAACCCACACACTTCCTTTAATCGTGATTCATTGCATATCAGTGGCCACTAGGCACGTCATATTAAACATTCAAACTGGTGAGTTTGTATCGAACGTATCTGAGTTTGGATAGATCAGAGTTTTAACTATGTATTTTTCCCTTTGCCAAAGGTCCTGTTGAACTAGAAGTAGACGTACAACACCATAGTCAGTCGCAGACGGTTGTCTCGGTGGATTTAGGATCAGTCCACAGAACCGAGGAAGGATTTGCAGTGTACCGACTAGAAAAGTCTGACATCGTGGAGAGAAACAAGTGGGAGCTGGTTATTATGATCGGTTTTCATACTGGAATCATCGCTGCCTTCAAATCAAAACCTTTTCGGATCACTACAAGAGCAAGTCAGAGGGCAAGAAACTTAGAAGAGCAGGAAGATAATACCATGGGTAATTAGAGCACTGAGAATTAGTTAGACTTGTCATTGTCACTGTAGACAATGAATAACTGATCTTCTAGGAGCACTGCATTTTCATATTGAAAGCCAAATTCCACGGATGTCCAATGAATTGTATATGGCCAATTGATAAGTTTTCTGTCAAAAATGTATGAGAAACTCTCAAGTTTATCTTAGTATTAGTTAAAACATACTGAAAAGTGTTAGAATGTTTACATCGGTACGTGCATAAGTCTAGCATCTTCCACAGTCATAGTGCGTTGAAACAATTTCAGTGTTTCAAGAAAAGAGAGCTTAAGCAACAACGACGACCAACGGCTACAAAAACGTCACACTGACTTAAAAAAGTGAATTGGCGCTGCCTCCAACTTTATCGCGCTTATTCCATCTCGTTTAATTCGTCAAATGTTGGCCAATCTTTTTGGAGTTGAACTCTTAAAGACTGTATCAAAGTTAAGGGAAAGAAAGAGAAAGTTGTTGTCTTGTGTTCCCGTCCTCGACGAAACGTGAAATTAGCCACTTTCACGCCGTAGTCGTGCAACTACGGCTAGAACTGAATGTACAAAAAAGCGTGATGCACGTGCTAAGTTGTTGTTTTGTTTATATAAGGCTATTGCTCTTTTGCCGTTCTTGTTGCCGTCGTCCTCGTCGTTGCTTAAGCTCCCTATCTGCGAACAAAAGCTACCACTGCACTCATCAAAGACATCATGCGAGTCTAAAAACCACCAAAACAGAAAAAGAGAGCTATTATTTCTTTAGCCTTAATCACTGATCACTGCTTGAAAAAGTTACCACATCTATTAAACGCATTATAGTTTTAAAAAGGTTTAAACACTTATTTGTAATTTGCATTATTTCGTAGAAGCTCTTGAAGATGTGCTTCCCAGAACATCTGCTCAAAGCTGCGATAGCAGGACCTTCTCAACACAAAGTTGCACATACCCCACTATTGCTTCAGGTAGAAAAATATGTCAAGGTTAGAAGTCAATAGTGAAGGGCCACTCATTCCAACTACAGTAGTTTATAATTCAAAAACGAAGGATAACTAGTACGCTTTCGTATGAAATAACAACCGTTTGAAAAAAAGAGAAAGAGGCTGAAAACTGACCATCACGGTTATCATGGTGCAGTTTCACTTTTTGGTAAAAACTTGGCCGAATTAAAAAAATTGTTTCAGTAACATGTACGTTATGAACTCTACAGGCAAGATAACAAGTTATTCCCTAAAAGAGAAACAACGCATGAACACTTTTTGGCGCTTTTCGAGTTAGAACTAAACCTGAAACGCTGGCCCACTTATTTCAAGGGCTAATATGGTTATCGAAAGCCACAAAATAAAACATGAACCATTAATTCAGGTTAAGGTTTGCTTTTATTGCAATGGGTTTCCAGTCTTAAAGAAACACCGAGAAAGTCACACATTCTTTATAAATTAACTATCCAAGGGAAAAAATAAAACTGGGATTAGCTCGTAGATTTCACCTCGCATGGCTGGGTATTGAATGACCAAGATGGGTCTCGAAGTTTATTTAATCAGTTCAAATTTCCTTTATAGACACAAGCGACGTTGTTAAAAGAGTGGCGTCTAAGCTTCGTCAGGAATTTTCAAAGTTTAATCTTAAGGACGATACTCCCTGCCCAGCACGGAAAGCTTTTAGAACAGATCCCCTTGTGCTAGGCAAAGTTGTGCTTAGACCAGATACGACTTTGGACAAGACGAAGGTATGTCAATTTCTTGTGGGGTAGCTTTGCTGCTTGTGTCGATGGTGAATATTGTCAAAACAATAACTTACATTTGAACACGCGCCAAATCTTTTACTGCATCAAACCCCATGCTGTAGTAACCAATTGCCCCCTGAAGCTACTTTAAATTTCCGTTTCAGACCACAATCTGGCCGGGAAAATGCATTAAGGCTGTCTACAATTCTGCTTCCTACTATACAATATGTAATTAGCTTTCATTTAAGGCTTAAATATTTCCGGCCGGCCTGGCAATGGGGGCCTGCGTGCAAAAGCTCAGTTATCCCAAGCGAGATGTTTCTCCTTTTCCTTCCCTTTTCTTCCCTACTCTTTTACAAAAGTTCTAATACAAGTTCGAGTTCTTAAACTCGATCTAAAAATCTTCGCCCATCCCAAGGATGGGGAGATAAACATGCTTTATTTTTCTTGAATCTGTGGGCAATGCTTTGGACCCAATTTCGTTTTGGCGTCTTTTTATCCCTTAAATAGAAGCTTTCTTTGCAGGCTCTTTGGACTAACTCTAATTGAAATGTTGATTGTATGTTTAATAATAAACAAGAGCCCATGCATAGAACAATGATTTTGTGGTATAACCTTTCATCGACACTATTTTTGATACTGCCTGCTCACATAGCATGATGACGTGCGTACATTATTGAGATAGGTAAAAGTACTGGGTTATTGCCCACGAAATCACGAAGCGAAGAAAACAAAAAAATACTACAAGGCTACATGTGATAGAACCTCTTAATGCACCGCTCCCTGAATAGACATCCTGGTGAAAACTCTTCCTCGTGTTTGACATGCTGCCTCTTAACGATGTATTATGATTGCACTGCTTTTGCATTCTCATTTTAGGTAGCCATGCACTACAATCGTGACATGCGTGCTCGCTACGTGGTTGAACAGCCAGATCTTCCTAACCTACTGAAACTTATGAACCTGAAAGCAAATTGCGCCAGCAGTGGTCGGAGAAGAGCAAACGGCTTTAAAACGGCTGAAGAAGATTTCTGGTGGGCGTGTGGGTTGTGTTTCTTCGAGCGACGGAAAAAATCAACAGTTAAGGCCCACGTGGCACAAAGAGTTTGTCAGAAAACCTCTTTGAGGAAAGAACTGAAACAACGAAGAAAGGCAATGGGACATCTGAAACGATACTCTAGTTGTGACTTTAGTAGCGAGAGGCTTGAAGGACTGGAGAATTGGACATGGGAAGGCCCTCAGTCTGTTTAACACTAGACTATCATCTGAAACTATCATGGATATCCAACTCATGATATGGCAGCACGACAATGTTGCAGTGGGGTACTGTTTTGTAAAACAAAACAGAACAAGAATCGATGAAAAAAGAAAAAGAATCGATGCTTACTACTTATTATCGCTAGTCAACCAAAAGCAGGCAGAGGACAAAATGCAGGAGCGATTGGACAAAGACTTTGCTTCATCAGCTGCTTGCACTCCATGAAAGTAACATACCAGCTAATACGAAGCCTAAACAAAGTACGACGCATGCAATCAAGGTACCAACTACTTTTAAGAAGGTCACTTTGACTTTACAGTGATGTTAAAAAAACCCTTTCGAGGTTTCAAAACAAAGGAGCTAGTTGCCTGCACATTCTGAAAAACTGCACATTCATATTCATAGTTTTCGTTCGATCGCCAACAGTAAAAGTGATTTTCTTCGACACCTAACCCACGCAACTGGCAGTCGTTGAACTCTCTATGACTACTATTCAATTCTTTCATTCAATTCTACTATGTAAGATCATTCATCCTATAATTTACTTTCCTTAAGGACTTAAGGTTTTTGTCAGGGTCATACTTAAGTCTACTTTACACATCAATAGACAAATACTCAAGGAACAAACTGCCATTTCAATTAGTATTTTCAATACGCCATCAACAATAAGGCGGTTACACGACTAACCCCAACGTGAATGGATTGTCCCATACAAAAGTAACGGCCTCGGTTACATTTCATAAAAATGTGAGAGACAGAATATTATTTGTACACTGCGGTAGTTTCAAAATCGTTTTCTGTATATAGCATATCTGTATAATAATTATACTATTAAAATATGATAAGTGGGTTTAGGATATACACACAGTGATCTTGAGTTTTAAGCAATCTGATTGCTCCTCCATCGTGGATTAATTGTGCAATTTCGACTCCTTACCGAGTGGATAATGCTTGATCCTGAGAGCAAAAACAAGATGGCTGGCTTTAACTTGAAAGAACTTTTGAAAATGCAAGAAGCGAAAGTAGTCATTCAAATCGACTTTTAATCGTTTTCTTTCTGAAACTGTTGAGATCGCTTCGTGTGTACTATATACTTATCAATTAATCTTTGCAATCTGGGTGGAAAGGGGCTTTTGGAATATTTTCCTGGATTTCAAAGAATAACTGATAAACATTCTCCCTAAATCAAGAACAGAAAAACCATAACCATCAAATAGATTAAGACATTTCCAGACGGCTACATAACAACGATATAAATTATTGATTGATCTTTATCTCAGTGACATGAGAATTTTCAAGACTAAGAGTAGATGGATGGTAGTTACATTATCTATGTTATGGAAAGAAAAAAACTTATTAAAAGATCCGTTAAGGGTTATTAAATGATAATCAGAGTGTTAAAACTAATTTCGAGACCATCTTGAACTTTTGAACTACATGTAGATTCATCCTGTATATGAAAACAATGCCCGTGGGGGAAAAGGCCCTGAAAGAAACGTAGGTACGGTACTGCTAATTCAACTTTGAAGCGGAATAAGCCAAACTTTGAGCTTTTAGACCAGGGTTCTCGACAGGTTTTTACAGTAGGAAACAAATTTCTGAAAGAGCCGGACGCGAAAGGCGCGTGCTACCTCAGGGATGTGGGGGCATGCTCCCCCAGGGAATTTTTTAAAATAGAATACTCAGAAACGCTGTTTCCAGGGTCTCTGGAACCAGAGAATCAGTTTCCCAAGCGAGGGTGGAGTTCACTCAAATTCTTAGAAATGATGAGTTGAACAATTATTATAAAGCAAATCAGCATTTAAATTTTTCATTTATCGTACCGCAACATTTTTCTAAGACTTAAAAAAGCCAGAGATCGAGCGCAATTCTATAAAGGGCAGCCACCTTGGGTTTCTAATGCACCGCGGGGGCGACTGCATCAAGGTTTCTAGCGGGCTTACATTTCAAACCAAGAGGGTTGCCCGTTTCGACCCGTTACAGTAAAGCCCTCGATCTCAAAGATCCTATGGAAAAATAGGGGACTTTAAACGTGAAAGTAAACTGTAAACCATGCAAGTAGCATGCGAACGGCAGACGTTTCTCCTCGCTCATCGCCGCTGAGGGACGTTTCGCGAGACGTGATGCACGGTTTCCTTTAGTAAACACATAAGCGCCGTCTTCTGATGGATTAAGAGAAGCGCACCTAATCCTAAAGGGTATATAACATTCAAAAAGGAAAACAAAGTACTCAAAGATTAAAATCTTGTTGCAGCTTCCAATACTACACCTAATTTGAAAATCAACCACACGTGTCAAATATCCTGAGAAACTTGAATCACGATGAGTAAAAACTTCACCTTGATTACGAGTGGGTCAAACCTGCTGTGTGGAAAATAAAACGTAGCGAACAAAGCAAGAAGTCTTTATCAAACAAGCGCACAACTATCAACAACACTGCCTCCAAGCTATATAATTAACAACAACAACAACAACAACTGTACGTCTAGGCGGTTTAACACTGTCATTATTTCGAAAACAGTAAAGTAGAGAAGTGGAAAAATAGTAACGCATTACATAGTAAATTTCAGACTAGTTCAAGTATTTCCATGGGTATCCAAGGCTTTTGCACATGTTCTACATCAAAGACTGAGGACGGGTTACAGACTTATTATTTTGAAAACATTTTTCATAATTTCATTATCGGTTGCAGAGAACTAACATCACGTTTGTCGGTTAGCACTTCCTGTGCTCATTGAATAGCGGGAGAAGAATATTGACATACACAACATGATTGGAAAGAGAGCAAGTGATGTCCGGCTTTTGACTGCCTCTGATATGATTAAACTCAATTTTTTTAGTTCACGTTGGGCCACGTACTTTCTTTAAACGTTACTTCCCCTTCTCTGGGTGGAATGAGGTGTCAAGAGGAATCTGAGATGGATTTTTTCTTCGGCCCTGAATTATTGAATACGCAATTAAACAGTGTTTAGTCATAAAATGCACAAATTGAAAAGATAAAATTATCCACGGTTCCAATTAGAATGTACGTGCTTTTGAAAACTATCTAAATACTGATCACCTTAAGAATGCAACTGCAAGGTTATAGGCCCCGCCCACACGCATCTGGATATTTTTAAAAAAGGAGATTTTTTCCTCCGTTTTATCTTTCTGTCTATACGTAAAGGGTCATATTCAACTTCATCTGTTAATTGCTTATTATCTTAACCTTACCTTTCGCCTGTCTTGGGGGTCTGAAAAATTGGAAGGAGTGAAGCGGTACACTCGTCCTGAAAAAGATAAAGCTTTAGCTTATAGTAAAGACAGTGCACTTAGCTTTCCAGCTAGTTTACGGACACTCCACTCAAATAAGTAGAAACAAATAATCCAGAGGTAGCCAGATGGTTATTTACAAGCGTGGGGGGGATTTGAATTTGAGACTACCGAAAGACAAATCCAGCAAGTGACAGGAGCCGGACACGAACCCGGGACCCCAAGAGTGCGAGTCAGACGCGCTGACCCGGAGCCGCCGGACACGCTACCTCCCTGTTATGCAATACTTCCAATCGTGATTCGTATTTGCTCCTAACACCAATTCTGCAGATGCACTTAACGTTTCTGTTGACGTCTGAAAGCTGTTCGTTGTCAGGGTAGGAAACGCCGGTCGCGTCCACAAGCGGTCTTCACCAGTAGACTTTTTCATTCTTTCCATGAAAAATTACATACTGGTAGGGTACAGTTGGGCAAATTTATGGTGGATCCCATTCGCAATTCAAGGAATTGACAAACAATTCTGCATCCTCGAAAGTTGCTACAATCTTCCGTAACGACAATCTGTTGTGCCGAGCTCCAACCTAACCGCCGATTGCTAATCTTGTGCAAAGATTTGACCACCTCTAGATCGTGTGCAGGTAATCTCATTTTCAGCATTTGAGACTAAAGCTGCTTGTGTCTGACGTGATCATTTTTTACAAAGACGTTTTTGCAGTCTATGACACAGACAGCTCGGAGGAAAGAATCCGATAACTCACAACAGGAGTCGATTCATAACCCTCAGGTTACTGGTCCAGATGCTCTGCCACTGAGCTAAAGGAGACTCGAGGGAGCTAAGGTCACTAAACTAGGTTCATGAGACAAACATTCTCCAAACTACTAGGATTTGGATGTTGATATGTGCTTATGCGTAATGACAGAAAAGTGATTGTGAATATTAAGCCGTGGAGAATACATGGGAAAGATGTCATTCCGGTAGTGACGCAGGCGGCTCGGAACCCAAATCTTTTGGTTACTATAGTCCAGATACTCTACCGCTAAGCTTCAGGAGACTTGCGGGAGCTAATGCCACTAAACTAAGTTCATGTGACAAAACTTCTTCATTCTGCTTGACCAAAATGTCGATATGTGCCATACTAAATGATGGAAATTTTTTGGTGAATTTTAAGCCTGGTAAATACGTGAGAAAGATGATTTTCAGTCAGCCACACAGGCGGCTCGAAAGAAAATAGTAACATATGTTTTCCTCTCCCTGCTGCTCTCTTGTCCCGGGTGAGCCACTTGGTTATAAGGAGTCTTCCGCCCTCGCCAGCTGTAGAAGAGGTAACAACAGTCTCCTTCGTGCATGTTATAAAGTTGGAACTTGCAGGTTCAGACCTTGACGAGTGTCAGATAAGGGAGGGCATAACGCGCAAGGCCAGTTATGTTTAAATCACTCAAGTAAATCTTCATTTCTTTGCAAAGGCGATTTTCATTAAAAAATGTATTCAATATGACAGGAGCATTTTTTCCCATTGGATGTGGTCAGCTTATTTTCGCTTGACGTTAGGAAATGCAAGGCATTATCTGGACTCGGGCGCGCTCTGTCTCCTCCACCACAAAAGAATTAGAATCATCCCAAGTTATCGGTGGTGCACTACATGCGTTTCCCTCCCTCAAACACTTTTGCATCTTTTTTCCTAGCACGAAGGCTTTTTCTTTGAGCTTCCAACAGTAGACAAAATGACGGCTATTCGTTCGTTGGTAGTAGCCATACTTAAATGATCTGATGACGAAAATGTCCTTTTAACGAATTCAAAAATTGCATGTGGTCCATTCCCTAACGGAAAACAGAGATAGACTGACGTAACATACTTAAAAATAAATTTTACTTTTTGAGTGTCTCGTTAAAATAATGCAATTTCTTGGACAGCGGCGCCATGCGTTAAAAGACAACCCCCACCCACCTTATACACCCTTATTAAAGTAAAACAGTTGGTTTCCTATTAGTGTATACTTTGATTAAGTGGAGGGTAAGGTAAGGTACCACAGAGTGGATTACTTCTGTAAAGACTTGAAAGGTACGGAGAAAAGATTCAGAGGACAACAAAAGTCAAAGACAATTCTTTATTGACAGCAAGTGATCCAGCCACAACACAGCGACAAAACGCAAATAAATAATATTAGCTCATAATAAACTATTCTACGGTGTTTAAAGGGGCCACGTCACGCTTATTAAAAAGATAAAAGGTTTTTTTGCAACTACTGAAATCCAAAATTAAATGCTTCGGTTTTGTTATTTAAGACTATATAGTCATTAAAAATGTTTCCTGTTGCTGCAGCAATACCTGGCAGGGATGGATATGGATTGAAACCTAACTTTTAATGCTATGCCTGCAAAAATCACCCACAAAAATAATTCGGTTAGTGCTCCCTGATTAAATTTATTTGATATCTTCTTCAAAACTCTACTGCATGAGCATTTGGATCATTTTACGTTTCTGGGAAACTGCCCACCTACCCCTCCCATAAGCCAACATAAACACTTACTTCTCACTTAGGGCAAAATGCTGGCTTAGGGGAGGGGTAGGGGGGGCAGTTTCCTAGAAACGTAAAATGATCCGAGCATTTTGTGTATGGGTAAAGGCACCAAGTAAAGACTTCAACACAGAATTGACCTAAAACAGCAAAATCTTCGTGACATAGTCCCTGTAACTTTTAAACCTGTCAATTTTGAAAGCGAAGATCTATAAATCTCTCCAAAGTCGAGATATTCTATAGCCTGAGAAAACAGCCGACATTTGGCGACGCTACCACTGATTTCCCCGCCAAATGACGTCTGAGAAACGAGCGCAGAAATTCCATACTAAGGGACGGACCATTAGAAAACTTATGGGGGGGGGGGGGGGGGGGGAAGTACAAAAAAAATATTCGTGCAAGGGAAAATTAAATGAAAAAAAATTCATGCACGCCAATTAACCCTGAAAAATATTCATGCAATGGCCTAAATAAAATTCATGCAAAGAATTTGATAACGAAAAAAAATTCTTGCAGCTCGAAAAGTCCCCTCCCCCCCCCCATAACTTTTCTAATGGTCCGTACCTAAGGACGCGTCGCTACCCAGATCTGGTTAATGGTTCACTGCTTCTGATTGGTCGTGCTGC